GTGTTCCTCGTTTATTCTGCCAACCACGGCAGAACGAACGAGGAACACGCTACAAATTATTGCGTAGTTGCCAAGTCTTCAAACATGGCAAATATGAAAAATGAAAAATAGTTTAATATGTACAGAATTTAACAATATTGTATGCATAACTTAATAATACTATCCTATAATAATAATTTTCACAATTGTGATGAAAATTGCGATAAAAATATTAAGTACATTTCCAGTACAATTATACAGCTGACAACAATGATTCAGTTAGACTGTGAATAGACAAGGCATCATCCAGAAATGTAAATAAATGAGTCCCCTTTATTTAAATGTCCTTGGCTGGGATGGGGGAGGTAAAACATAATCCTTTCGGATTTTTTGAAAATTTTTATTAATAAAATCTTCATGGTTGTCAAAAATAAGCTTTCTGTGTATACTAATCATTGATAGGCCATTGAAACGATTTTGTACCATAGTATATTTATCAGCCATGTTTTTATTCTTCTGTTCTGCTATTTTTCATTCCCCCTATATAAAATTAGTACGTTACATATATAGCTTTAGTTGCACTGTAAACTTTTATTCTGATTACGACAGATAAAAATTCATTTTTTTTTTAATTTGGAATTCCAGAGCTAAATTTTTAAAATATGGACTACTAGTACTTTTTAACATAAAATTTTATATTTTTAAATTCTTTTGTAAACAAATATTTATACTAATTTATTACAATTGTTTAAAAAAAAAATAAAGTACTCTTCACGCGAAGCAATAGATTCTTTATAAACTATAACTTTCATTCGAGACCAAAAAGAAAAATCAAGAGGATTGAAGTCCGGACTTCTGGGTGGCCAAGCAAAGATGCTTACATGGCCAATCCAGCGATTTGGAAAAATTGCAAACTAAATATGCACGCACTGGCCGAGAAAAATGCGGTGGAGCTCCGTCGTGCATAAACCACATGTCTCTTCTTAAATAAAATAGAACTTTAAGCCGTGAAAGCATTTTTGCTTGGCCACCCAGAAGTCCGGACATGAATCATCTTGATTTATCTATTTGGTCTCGAATGAAAGATATAGTTTACAAATAATCTATTGGTTCGCATAAAGAGTTGTGGCAAAGAATATAAATCGCTGCCAACGAAGTCAAACGCAATCCCACGATAGACATACAGGGTAAAACGTTATTAACTATATTTTCAGTAAAATTGGTCGTAAGTGGCGCCCTCTATGAGCACCGCCGAAATTGCAACACACATCTTATTCGTCGCTTAAAAAAATATAGTTTCACAAATTTTCAAGTTCCTAACCTACATATTTTTAGAATAATCGCAAAAAACCGATTTACAANAAAAACTGGCAACTAAATATGCACGCACTGGCCGAGAAAAATGCGGTGGAGCTCCGTCGTGCATAAACCACATGTCTCTTCTTAAATAAAATAGAACTTTAAGCCGTAAAAGCATTTTTGCTTGGCCACCCAGAAGTCCGGACATGAATCCTCTTGATTTTTCTATTTGGTCTCGAATGAAAGATATAGTTTACAAAGAATCTATTGGTTCGCATAAAGAGTTGTGGCAAAGAATATAAATCGCTGCCAACGAAGTCAAACGCAATCCCACGTTAGACATACAGGGTAAAAAGTTATAAACTATATTTTCGGTAAAATTGGTCGTAAGTGGCGCCCTCTATGAGCACCGCTGAAATTGCAACACACATCTTATTCGTCGCTTAAAAAAATATAGTTTCACNCATATTCTGCCAATTACGGCAGAACGAACGCAGAACACGCTACATATTATTGCGTAGTTGCCAAGTCTTCAAACATGGCAAATATAAAAAATGAAAAATAGTTTAATATGGTTAATATAGTTTCATGGTTGTCAAAAATAAGCTTTCTGTGTATACTAATCATTGATAGGCCATTGAGACGATTTTGTACCATAGTATATTTATCAGCCATGTTTTTATTCTTCTGTTCTGCTATTTTTCATTCCCCCTATATAAAATTAATACGTTACATATATAGCTTTAGTTGCACTGTAAACTTTTATTCCGATTACGATAGATAAAAATTCATTTTTTTTTAAATTTAGAATTCCAGAGCTAAATTTTTAAAATATGGGCTACTACTACTTTTTAACATAAAATTTTATATTTTTAAATTCTTTTGTAAACAAATATTTATACTAATTTATTACAATTGTTTAAAAAAAATAAAGTACTGTATTAATTTTCAATTAAAATTTAAGTAAATAAAATATTTGATTAAAAATTTCCAATCTAAATATTTTCTTAGCTTAAGAAAATTTTTGTACTCTTTTCGAATTTCTATGGGGGAGGCAGCTCCCCTTACTCGGGAGACCGCGATGTGATCGAGACAAGCTAGAGCGCGAATGTTTTTGATGATCGCGTACC